CTGCATAGGAACACCATTCATAGTTAAATGAGTGAATAAGCATTGAAAACATGTTTATTTTCTTAATTTTAAAGGGTGGAACTCTTGCCCCACCCGACCCTACTATTAGCAGGTTGTATGCAAGTGGCAAAGCTTCTACTTTGCCACTAAAGCTTCTCCATACAATATTGCATTCACGTATACCAGTTACGCCTCGCATCTCTTACAAAAGTCATCCGATGTGTCAGTATTGATCTAGATCAGTTGAAAGCTATTAGTTGAATCATAAATTCAGTGCCAACATTTCAAAGGGGCGTAATTGCATTTGTAAACAATGGCTTTAGCCATAGATTTCTCGCAAATAAAAGCTCACTCATGAAAAATAATAACACCACCAGGTAGAGGAATGTTTCCTCTACCAGCTAGCATTGTAATTTTGGAGAGGTAAGATATCATTCACGAGAAATTGACGGCTAAAGTCATTGTTTACAAAAGCAATTACGCCCCTTTGAAATGTTGGCACTGAATTATTGATATGGTTTGCGCTTCACTATTCGTGATGGTGATAATATCAGTGAAATGTATATTTTAACTAAATTTACTTTTAAAGATCACATTGAGGGCATTCAAGCCAAATGTAACAAATATATAAAATGTTTCTATCCTCTTATAAACAGAAAATCCAAACTTTGCCTTAAGAATAAACTTCCAATATTTAAACAAGTTTTTAGACCGGCCATGCTTTATGCTGTGTCAATATGGTCTAGTTGTTGCACTACCAGGAAAAAAGCACTTCAAAGGATTCAGAACAAAATTCTGAAGATGATTTTGAAGTTGCTACCACAGAGGAAACTCTAAGACCAGAAGGTCCCGAAGAAACGTGCTCAACTTTTTGGCTCAGCTCTGGTACTATCTCCAGTCCCAAGCAAATCGAAACACCCCTCGAAACATAGCAAAATCCACGAACCCCTCATTTTATCTGTCAAACTTTCAAAGCAAATCAAAACAAACATTGTGTAGTACTAGAATTTCGTCTAGAATGGGATACGTTAACCCTAATAAAAATAACCATAAAAGAGAGCTTAACGACGTGTTCGGGGTATCATCCAAACCATTTGTGGGATAGTTCCGGGATATCCGGGATACAGTTCGTTAATGGTATTTGTTTATTAGGGAATCTATTTGCTTGGGACTAATAGGCTAGTCAAGTAGTGGGCCAATTTCAAATCTATAGTTTCGTATTGATTGTTGGTACTACCAACCGGTGGAAACTAACTTACTTTATACTTAAATAATATTAAATTTTAGTTCTTAGTTTTAAGATGTAAATTGTTATACTGACATGCAGGTATATAAAACCAGTTTAAAATACTGAATTGCCAAGGCAGGAACAATTTAAAAGCAGTTAGATGTATATATCATAACAATTAGGACTGCTAAGTTACTGTATTAGCTGGAGCACCCAGGTTAAAATGGAATGTAATTTATTTTAATTTAGAATTTCAACAGTTTTTTTTTATCATTTGCAGGTGAAAACAGTCTTCGATGCAGCGTACCACCACATAGATTTTAAGATCATCAGCATATACGAGCTTGCACTTGTGACATGCAGCGTCATTGAAGAATAACACAAACAATAACGGTCCCAAATTACTTCCTTGCGGGACACTGGACGTGCTGGGAAATGGTGATGAAACATAAGATCCGTGTTCTGCCAGTCAAGAACGATGACAACCAGGCATGGAAAATCATTTGCATTCATTTCGTGCATTCATTTACATTCATTTGCCTCTAACTTTTTTCTTGAACAGCATTCCGCGAAATGGTATATAGAACTTATGTAGGTTGTGTTATTAGCAACAACTTTTGTTTGCAAGTTAAATTCGTATCTCTTATGCATGACGAACCAGAGCGAACAGAAGCCACTACTGTTTTCCAGTGAATGTATTTTACAATCACTCAAAAACAGTAACAAGTTCTGCCCGCTCTACTTCGTGATGCATAAGAGATACAGATTTGAGTTATGAACAAAAGTTGTAGCTAATAACAAAACCTACTAAAATTCTATACATCATTTTGCGGAATGTTGTTGATAAAAAAAGTTAAAGGCAAATGAATGTAAATGAATGTATGAAATGAATGCAAATGATTTTCCATGCCTGATGACAACCACGACACCAATCGATTTGCGGCCCCCAACCGCGATAGATTGCAGAGCAACACTTTATAATTAATTTTGTCAAAAGCCTAGGGAGGCGACACATCTAAATCTCAAGTCTAGATGCTCAACAAATCTCCCACTAGCGAATCAATCTTCGAAAAATCTTCTTTCATTCCTGACATCTACTTGCATCGCGCTTCATTTTTTTGCAGGAAATCTTCAGAATCGTCGTCAATCTGCTTTCTATCTACTCAGCGTGCGCGCAGCTAGCCACAGCAAAACACAATCTTTCCTGCATCGTAGATAGAGTCGTCCCCCTCGTCAAAAGCCACCTTTAAGTCCGTATAGATTACGTCAACCTGCGCTTTATCTTCCATAGCCGACAAACAGGTAGTAATAAGATCCAGCAAGTTAGTAGCAACAGACCTACCGGGAATAAATCCATATTGATCTGACGAAATGTGGTTTTTTGTAGCGCGTAAAATTTGATCGCTGACGATAATCTCGAGAAGCTTCGATACGGCACAAAGGCTGGTTATCCCAAGGTTATCCCCACCACTTTTGTGCGCAGGAAGAGAGATCAGCAAAATTAAATGCCGAGGTAATCAGTTGTTGGAGATTTTACCGAGATAGATTGAGTGTGTAGTTCAAAAATTACCGAACAGTGGAGGCCTGGATTATTGTGAACATATATTAAAAGTGATGTTGTTAAATTTCTAAGTAAAACATACGAGAAGAACATGTAAATCTAGATTATATTTTTCATGTCGATAATTATTGTAACACCCATATCAGGCATAACATTTGATAACGGCACAAAAGCATTGGTAAACAAACTTTCTAAGGCCCTTTACACCCAAACCAAAGTACGCCCCCGCAAACCAACAACATCATCGGATTGTGGCAACTATAACCTTTCCGAAAGTGGTATTGGTTTGCGTGGGCGTACTTTGGTTTGCGTGTAAAGGGTCAGCAAAAATTTGTCATGCAAATAGGCTTATAACATTTTATAAATCTGGCCAGCGTTTACTTGTTCAGACTACAGAGAACATGTTATTATAGACAAGCAAAATTACATCAAGATAGCCTTATAACATGTTATAACTGCTCAGTCTGGCCAGCGCTTAAGTCTCATTCAATGATACCCTGAATCCCAATCAATACTGAGATCTCAGTACAATTTACTGTCATACCCTCGGCACCCTTATAAATTTTGTATGGATATTTTGCTAAACGACGTGTTCGGGGTATCATTCAAATCATTTGTGTAATAGTTCTATCATTTGGGTTATCGTTCGTTTATGATATTTTTTTATTAGTGCAGTCCAAATCTCTGCAAAATAATCCAAGGAAACAAAACCAGCGTGTATGAAGATTCACCATTAGCTCATTGTACAGTGTTCTCCCCTAACATTTCCATGTTCATACTAGAAATACTCAGAGGGAGAGATGGGCGGAGAGAATGTTTTGAGCCAAATGAACTGTAAAAATCTGAGCCAATCGAACATTCCAATTAGCATTTTTCCGATGATTTCTTATTCTTACTAGAATAAACTTGAGAAATTCAATCACCTTTATGTTTTGTGTGCTTCTCAATCGTATTTTGTTTTTTTCGCCTATCTCTCCCTCTGAGTATTTCTAGTTCATACAGCGAAGATAATAGGCCCCTCACATGATAAAATCACGGTGGCAGTTTTTTCCCGGTAATCCATTTTGGAGAGATATGCCTCTGTCAAAATCCGGTAAAGCAAAACTGTCAACAAACCAGTCAAAACAAGAATATCCCATGCCTGCTTGTGTGCGTGATGTGAAGGATTCCGTCTGCTCTTTCGTTCCAACCTGTGTTGTTTATACATATGCATAGTGACTGAGTGTAGCTGATTAACAAGGTGAACACACTTTGTCGATGTTGAACGTAATTACGTTTATAGTTGTATTTAAATGTTATTATATCAGTGCTAACATTTGAAAACGGCGCAAAAGCCATTTGTAAACAAATGGTTTGTGGGCCCTTTACTCGCTACCCGAAGAACACCCACGCAAACCAACAGCATCGTCAGGAAGGGGAAAATTTCCCCTACCCGATGTTGCTGTTGTGTCGCGTGGGTGTACTTCAAGTAGTGAGTAAAGGGCCCACAAACCATTTGTTTACAAATGGCTTTTATGCCGTTTTCAAATGTTAGCACTGATATTGTCTGTTGCGTTGATTCTTCCAAATACACGATGAAAACTCCTTTTGTTATTATGTTTTGGCTGCGGCCTCTTGTAATATATTAAGATTATTATTGACATTTAAAACTACTAAAATAAGAATACACCTAAGTTTTGATCATTATTATTGTTACACCCTCAATATTGGTAAAAACTCACACAATCAATTAGTTGCGATAAGCAAAACTTCGTTTGTTTGCTGAGAATTGACCATTTCTACAGAATTTCTGCAAAATAAAATACAGAGCAAAAATTAAACTGTGTTAAAAATTAAATTGGCAATACAATTTAAGTGAGTATAAAACATGTATGCAAATTTCGATGCAACTTTCAACAGAATCGATTTATTTGCAATTTAATTCCCAAAAAGTCGAAGAAACTTGAAACACAGTAGTAAAACATGAAGTAAACACATTCTGTCTAACTGAGTTACGCGTCGGTTAAAAACTACTTGAAATGTGTATCTTTAGGAATAAACGATTTTAAATAGCAATACCAGACTATCGAAGTGTGCGATGATATCATCATTCCGATGTTCTGTCAACAAGTCACAATACAAGGAAAGTTTAAAATAATGTTACCTAGATGCGTCATCTTTGACGACGGGAGACGACATTCGGTGCGCTCGCCACATACAGCAAAAGTTTAAGTAAAGAACTCAGTGTCTCGATAGTGAAGATAGATGAAAATTCTACGTGTGGATAAAATCTAAGCAAAATTTATCGTAAAGTGGTGTATTTAGTTGAAATAAAAGTGATTTTTCGGCTAACTACCGCAAGGAGCAAAATTTGGACTGTTTGAGTCGTTGAAATAACTTCTAAATAGGTAAGGACAAATGTACCGAAATTTGCCGACCAAAATTTTCTCCATTCATAAAGAGGCAAAGGAAAATATAAATGGCTGCGGAGATATTTTTTTTCTTTTATAGGTGCAGTCATTTCAATTATTTTCGCTGTAGTTTTATTATTCTTGAGTAAAGCTTTTCCAATCGGTGGGTGTTTTTGTTTTTGTTTTGGTTTTGGCTATAAATCAAATTTATTTTATAAAATCAGTGATGATTATTTGTAATTTTTTTTTTTTTTCTAATCACGCGCAACATCTATAATTTTTTCAGCTGTATGATTTATGCGTGAATTGATTTAAAATGTTTACTGTGTTAATAATTTCTACTAGTTTCATGAAGAAAAACTGCACTTGAATGACTTTAACGCAATATTGATGTGCACGTAGAAGAAAGTTAATTAGGAAAAATTAAAAATAATATCAGTAACCTGTGACTTATTTTTAAACCAATTAATTTTACGTCGTGTTTTTTTTTTTGCAATGAGTCATTGAGTTGTCATTGAAATCATAAAAGTTCATTGCCGAACTAAACAAAGACTTAACTTTTTTTTTCTTTTCTTATTTGGACCTTAAAAATCCAAAATCCTCATCAACCATTTATTATGATTTTGAACAATGTTTATGAGTGTGATCATTTTTTTTTCTTCTCAAAGCAGCCATCCACAAACCAATGTTTTGACCTGTTTTAATTGATGACATAGTGAGGGTTCTATTATCATGTAGAAATATCCAAGTAGCCTCGAGCGATGTCTTGATTTGTGTTCAATTTTCTTCAGGGGACTGCTAAGGTGACAGTTCACTGTAGCCACCTTCTATTGTGGTGTTATGTCGTTTTCGTTTTTGCGGTGTAGTGCAAGCAGCAATAAATGCGAATCATTGACAGCTTGTTTGTAAACAAAGGTGCAACCGATATCCGCACCCTGAATTATTTCGGTATATGGCAATGTAGCTACATCACTAAAAACCAAAACTACATTAGGGGCAATTTAAATATGACGTCCACTCTTTGGGGAGGGGTCCTAGAATATGTGACAGTTCATGTAATAGGTATGCACTAAGAACATTTCAAGAGCAAATTTTCATTATGTCGTAAGTAACATTCGCACCAATCCGAGAAAAATAAGGTTTTGTTTTGATGACCGAAAAGTTATTCCTATTTCCAAGTAAACACATATAATCTCATAGTGATAGCAATGTTTAACATATTTAGCAGGGTTTTAATCATACAAATGCAAATCGCTAGCTTTCATGCTAAAAAATACTGGTTTTTGAGTCAAAAGTTATTATACGTCGTTTGGTGGCCCCTATTGTTACTTAAGTCAAAGTGTATTTACCAGGATATTCGGGAGAATTATCAATTACGTCTCCTTACGTGCAGCCCATTCATCATTTTAGGACCACCGAAATCATCTTAGCAACAAACAGTTCGATTTATTCACTTTAATAATGAGAAAGCGAAACGACGAACGTACACTTTTCACGGGTTTCTCAGCGCTGTTACTTAAGTCAAACGGCATCTCCATAGAAATTGGGTGACTTAAGTAACATCGAAAACTATTTTGATCGGAAGGTGATTACGTCAAAAAGCAATTTGACTGGTAAATAAATTTAAAAATGGGATTTGATCCTATATTCGGACAGTATATAGTGTAATAGCAGGAGAATCGATTGACACTGATAGCTCGACTTTGTTTACCTTTGTTACATTCGACGTAATGAAAATTTGCTCTTGATTTCAAAGATTGTTTTTATGTATCCACACATGAATTTTTGCAATGTGATCAATAAATGATCCCTAATAAACAAATACCACAAATTAACTGCACGGCAAACCAGAACAACTCAGCGACTGAATTCAATTGGCTCAGAGCATTTTCTTTCCATACGAAATTTACTCATATTTGGAAAAACCTGCAGTTACCCATAGTGAAATTCAATCAGCCACCGGCTGTTGTCGTAATGGTGATAACAAATGCAAACAGCTGTCAAACATTTTCAGTTTTGAAATTGAAAATTTGCCTTTTTCTGTAAGTTTTGGTGATTAAAAAGCTTATCAAATTATAGGAAAAGTAGTCTTCTACAAAATGGTAAGTGGTTTCAATATTATAATTTCTTGCAATCAGGAAAAAAGTTGTTTTTTAGACTACGTAAACGCAAGCTCCACCACATTTTCTTTGTTGTTGCAGGTTCGATGCATTATCCCGGGATGCAACGAGGACAAATTTCCACTTTTTCGGGTTCCGAACTCGGGGAGCAACAAATATTCGCAGTGGAGAAAGGTTGCCACTGTTTACGGAATAGGGACTGAGCGAATATGCTCCATCATTTTGTTGAAGAAGACTGTTTAGAATATAAGTCCTAAAGTTTGTTGTCGTTTGGTAATTTGAGATTAATTTCAGGTGGCCGCTCCACGGCATGGGAACTTTGCAGCACAAACCCATTCCCGTCAATTCTTGCTTTGCTGCTGATCTACTGGTGTAGCCCAGGCACACAATATGCTAGGTTTTTAAATCCGCTAGCATGAAGTCCCAACATCCAGTATATCCAGCAGACGTGGACGTCAATTTCGGGATGTAAATCTGCAGTCATACAAAACATAACTTGAATAATATCGGTGCATCTAAAAACGCATTTTCATTAACTTTCAACGACATTGTAATGAAAATTAACATAACATTACATTATTCGACAAATTTCCTACATGTATCATTCATAATAATGATCGTATCTCACTATTTTGAACTTTTTTTCAATAAATTATCATTCAATCTCTAGAATTTGAGCCGGCTGTCATAAATTTATCACCATCGACTAGTACTATTTCCCGCCACTAGTGACCTATAAATTTCACTTACATTCTACTATAGCTGAAGTTTTTTATAAATATGAGTAAAACGTATGGCAAGAAAATGTTCTGAGTCAATTGAATTCAGTCACTGCGTTGTTCTGGTTGGCCGTGTGTATCCCGGATGTGTAAATTTTTCACAAATTGGCGTCTTGCAGTGAAACTTTTCCAAATTTTCGCCACCTACATTTTGAAGTGAGAACTACTAGAAGGAGGATAGTTTCCAAATTATCCAAGTAAAACAGATGATTTTTGGGGCAAATCGGTACATAAAGAAAAACTAATAATTTCCAGCGGATATTTTTGCTTGAATCGTGTAAGAAAACGTGTTTGCAAACTAACTGTTATTATTTCGGTATGGATCGGAGATGTTTTCATGGAAAATTATGCATAACAAGTTTGCACCCACATCTAAGGGGTTACCTCCTGCGCAGCTGCATTTTCCGGAAAATGGTGAATATGTGCGATTTCCACTAGGATGAAAGTGGAAATTAAGTGAATTTATTTAGGAAAGATTGTATCATGCTGGTGATAATAGAGAAATGGTTGTATAGGACGCCAATATTCAATAAATTTTCATTTTAGCCTTTTTTAGGTAAACATATTGATACTCACAATTTGCGACGGAAAACGCAACGACACGCACCATACTATAAAATGGTGCTTGATGGTTTATAAAGTAATAACAAGATGACAAATCATCTTTATTTTGAATAATTGAGCAATTTACTTTTGTTTACATCATATGTACGATGCAGCATTGATGGAGCTGTGAAATGAAATGAATATTTCTTATGAAAGTTCATCTGGAAAAGTCAAAGATGCACATCAGTCTGATCTTCAATTCGAATGTTATATTGGAAGGATTTTACGCAGGCTTGATGATAATTATGATTTAATGCTAATTTTCACGAATGTTATATGCAGTCTGTCAACATTATCATCATCATGCAGTGGCGACATCTACATTGAGCTTTTACGGCAATCTTCCAATACCTCGAACACGTCGTTAAGCTCTCTTTTATAGTTATTTTTATTAGGGATGTCAGACCCAATATGTGTACACATAAATTTCATGTGTACTTCTGAGTGGATTCTGTTTATGTGTGGTCACATACAAATCATGTGGAATTTCACGTGGAAATTCTTCAATAAACATGTGTCGAATTTTTTGAGTGATGGGAAAAAGCGTGACACAAAGAGGGGAGTAAACAAATCGACAAAGTGCTGGATGTCATATTTCTCACCCCAATCGGTCTGGGTTCAATCCCAGCCGAGGTCGGTGGGATTTTTCTGAGGCATAAGAATCTTTGGTCACGTCTTCCTTCGGAAGGGAAGTAAAGCTGTTGGTTTCGATTGCCATCAAGTGCTTGACGTTTTTTAATACTTTTCAGTATTTAATGCGCCAGCTTCACCACAACTACAAAAAATTCAAAAATTGTGTTGATATTGTAAGCTTCAAAACTATGAAATATAGCGCAAGACAATCGGTTAACCGATGGAGCGTTATGTTTCTGGAATCCTTCAAAGCTGACAATGCAGACTGAATTTTGTTTGTTGGTTACATTTTAATCATCCACTAAATAAACAATGTTTTATTATCAATTAAGAAATTGAATTGAATCTCCAGAGACCAACCAGCTAATGGCCGGGAAAGTCTCTTTCATAAACTAACCTAATCCATTTTAAGTTGTATTTTGACGTATTTATGATTGATGGTAATGAACTCTATAAAGATTTTTTTCTAAGACATTGGTAATTTTAACACATTACCGAAAAAGTACGATGATTCAAAATGATCCATTTTATGAAGTACTCGTTAATGAGTAAAGTTACTTTTACTCATTTCATGAGTTAAGCCACTGTTCTTCAAAATAGGTACTTTTTACTCATTAATGGTACTTGAGGATTAGTGTGTATTCAGAAGTATTCAGTACCATCTACAGGGACAATTACACCTAATGCGGATATTTTGGATTTCACCCCTTCTACAATCCTTCGGGATTTTTATCATCAACATTAAAAATTTAATCAATAAAAATATAAGTACGATTGTCTCATCGCAGTTATTGTTTGATTACTAGCTTCAAAAATCTCTATTCATTTCAAAAAATGAAGCACGCCTCATCAAAACAAC